GGAGCAGGGGGGTTTTGTTTTTGCCTTTTTATTTGGCTTTTCTTTTTCTATTAAATAGTTTCTGTTATCATTTTAGTTGTACTTTATTTTAGGTTTTATAAAATATAGGACTAGCCCCTAAATTAGTACTAGTAATTAGGCTACTGCCATAATTAATTTGACACATTAATAAAATAGGTTTATATTTGTTTATTATTTAAAAGCATTTAATAAATGGTTTTAGCCACTATTTTATTCATTTAAGAGCCTTTAAATACTTTATTAAATATGGGTTTTGACATGAAAAATATCTAGGGATTATTTGCAACACTTTGAACATTTTTGTTTTCATGTTTGAATTTTGACATTAATTTGAATTTGAACCGGTTCGAATCAAAGGGGGATTTAGCAATGGTGAAAATGATGACATGTCACCATTAACATGGGATTATTGTAGCTTAATTATCCGGGTGTTACATCACCGCCGCTCCTCGCCGTCCAGATCTTGGCTTTGATACATGTGCCGCTGCTCGTCGTCTAGATGCTCACTACCGCCAGTGTGAGAGTGGAGAGAGGGGAAGTGAGCGGTGAGAGATTTATGATGCAACTTCAGGAAACAATGTGGTGTCTCTCTTGTGTCTCCGGGCCTGCAGCCGCCTCCACCCACGTGCCTCGAGTTGCATCGCTTAGGCGTGACTTCAAACAAAGGTTTATTCAAGCGTTCCTCGAGAGCCAGGCCCAACGGTGCCTTAAGGTTCATGCGGACCTAAATTTCGGTGTAACATATACAACCAAACGGGTCAAAATTGCACCCATCGTGCCTGGCTGTGCCTAATGCAGGCTACCAAACGTATCCCTGGTATGTGCAAACTAGATGGCACCTGAGCAGAGAGAAGCGTTCAGTCAACTCATCTCGTGCATGTTCCATGAGAAAAACATTTCTTTGAACATATTAACGTTTGTCATGGTTTTTTTATAGATATACCATAAAATTTAAACTATCCATGGTGAAAAAAGATCAGAAAATTTGTCACGTCAAAGATTATAGCTACAAAACAGATAAAAATGCCATGTCGGGTATCTAGAGGATAACATCACAACAGGAACACATGATGCGTCCCTAAGTTCGCAGAGCATGATGTCAAGGATCTGAAGACTAGAGCCTTAAACTCTATCTTCGGTGCTCCAGTAATAATAGAGCACAAATTTTTAAAACCAATCTAATTGGCGAAGGAAGCTCATGATAGTTTGAGAGATTCATACCCTGGAAGTCAATACAGTGCTCTAGCCTACTCAACTCACCACAACGGTCTTGGAGGCATCGCTATACCCACCGTCGCTGAGTTAGGTAACCGCATCACCCTCCACCTCGAGCACGAGCTTCATGAGAATCTTCTGCGGGTCCTGCGGCGAGAGGAGGAGAACGACGTCCCCGGGAACTTAGTACGCGACCAATACAATTAATTATTTTTGTTTTAAAAAAATAAGATTAATTATTTTATGTCTACGATGGACAAAAAAATTGCTTGAAATTATATCTCTGAAACTTTGAAACTTGCAGTTTTTGACGCAAAAATTGTAAGTTTCATCGTTGAAACTTAAAACTTTTTGAGGGGTTTTCTTTTTAACTATGCGCTCGTACAAGACTGAACTACTGCACGAATCACGAGGTAAAACAAATGGGTGGCAGGACTTGGCATGTGAATGCCCCTGTGCATTCCTGACAGGAGCCCCTGGATTCCATCAAATGTGTTCGGCCATTTTATTGCCTGCTGCCTAAATCACGAACATACTCAACACCGGATTGAAATACTCCTCCCCAATGTCGCACCCAGGCGGCACCGGGGGCGAATCCGCCGTCGCTCCAAGCTCCCCCTCCCCTGCGCCCCTCGAAGCCGCTGCCGCCGGCTCCTTTGGTCGCGGTGGCGGCGGGCCCCTGCCGCCAAATGGTGTCGGGGTGGGCTCTCATCGTGGCGCCGGCAGCCGTCGGGTTTGACTGGGGCCGGCGATGGCGGCTCAACGGCGCGGGTAGACCGACGCGGCGGCCCCGGGAACGCAGTGGCGGGGGTGATGTGGCGCACCGGCGAGCTCCCTTGGCGCTGCAGCATGGAGGGCGTGGGTCTGGGGCCCGAGCCCAGATCTGGCGCGGCCGGTGGCTGCTATGGTGGGCCACCGCGGGTGGCAGGCTGGTCGGGACGCGGCGGTTCCGGCCGGAATCTGCAGGTCCGTGGCGGCGGCGGCGTGCCACGGGAGAGGACGGCGACGCGGCGGCGTCGCACGGGACTGGATGGCATGTAGTTTTCTGCTCTGCGGCCGGTGGTGGCGTGGCCGCACTTGTCCTCGCGGGAGGGCGTGTGGCAGCGCGTGGAGGGGCCTGCCAGCCCGGCGCGGTGCTCAGCGCGGAGTTGCGGCCTGCTGGTCGCTTGTTCCGCGCGGTGGAGGCCCGTCGGGGCGCTTGGCAGAGGTGCGGCTTGGGCCTGCGCGTGCTGGGCGCGGCGGAGGCGGCGAATCTGGCCTGATGGCGCTCGTGGGCTCTGCTGCTCCTTCGGCGGCGGCTTCGTGTGGTGCCAGGGGCCTGCTTTGTCCGAGGGGCTTGGAGGATGCCGGGGCGGCGGCCCCGGGCCTTTCGCCGCCGGATCTTGCCGGCGGGTTGTGGTGGTGGTTCTACCGACGAAGCTGGAGGTGCTGCGGCTGGCAGGTCACAGAGAGCCGGTGGATGTCGACCATGTGGATTGTGTGTTGTGCAGTGCTTCGGATCTGCTCGAATTCCGAGGTGTGGTGGAGCTTCGGGCGAAAGTCTAGCCCCAACTTTGGGTCGGTGCCGGCAACGGCGGCGCCATGGTGTCGTGATCGAAGCGGGTGATGACGGCGGCTACGTCGTTTCCTTCTTGGAGGCATGGCCTTGGAGAGTCAGCATCTTGCGGTTTGCACGGATCTTTTCATCGTCGGGGACAATGGACGTTGGGGCGGCTGCTCCGGGTGGTTTCTGGTTGTGCGCCGAGATGGCGATCTCGGGAACAATGCGAGTGGCAGCTCTATGAGGTGGGGCTCTGGCTCAACATTGGTTGGGTGGCATTTTTGTTCCGCTTGGGTGGTAGGGATGTCGGCTCAGTCGATGCGCCCCAGAAGGGGCGGTCTGACTTTATGTCAGGGCGGCGGCCCCGGATGTGGTGCGACGTTCGTGGTCTGCGAGCGGTTGGCCTGAGCAGCGTGGGCTGCGGGCAGCTGGGTTGTGCGGTGTTGCTGCTCAAGGGAGTGGTGGTATGTCGGGGCGGCGGCCCCGAGAGAATCATTGTGGCAATCGGGCTTCTGTGGCAACGATGGTAGTGGGAGCGATTTCGGCGACGCGGCAATGGTTGCGGTAGTCGGCTCTTCTTCGGCGTGTTCGTGGTTTTTGCCTCGGTTTGTCTGTTGCTGTGGAGTCGAAGCTGCGGCGGCAGGGTCCTATGGTGTACGATGACCGGCTGCAGGTGGTCCATTCAGCGATCTTCCGTGGCGCCAGTCGTGACTGGTTTTGTTCTTCCGAGCTCTCCGTCAGAGTCGGAGCTGCATTGTCTGGTAGCAGGTCAGCATGTCGTCAATTAGGGTGGGCTTTGCCCCTGTGTGTTTCAGTTTTTGGGTGTGGGTTTGGCCCTTGTTGTTTTGGTTTTTGCCCGGTTTTTCGTAATTAACTGAGCAATTCTCTTCTGCTTAATTAATACATGAGGCAATTTTTGCCTCCATTTTGGAAAAAAAATCACGAAACATGAAAATGAGAAAGCAAAAGAACAGATGCAATCTGAGTAGGTGCCCTTAAGGGAGCACACAAATTGGTGAGACGGTGGCCCATTGTGCGGCACTGGACAATTAGCAACTAAAAAAAGAAGAAGAAGATGCAATGTGAGTAGAGACTGAATGAAGATGCATGCGCTACTCGATGGATTTCCATTTTATTTGTGATGTAAAAAATTGGGAATTAGCTTTTCCGCTAGGTAAACTACTCTTTCAGAGCTAGTGAATAATTAGCTGGCGAGTGTATCAGAAATATCATCTGGGAGTGTATCAAAAAGAACAAGCATGAAACCTCGTTCGAGGATCCGAGGCGGCCAATTGTGCTGGCCCGATCGATCGACGGATGGAGCTAGCTAACTGGAACTAGCAGTAAAATAACGCATTGTTGTAAGAAAAATGATAAAAAAGGATAGCACTCAGCAGGGACCGTGTAACTTTATGCCTGCCCGCGCACATACGTACATACGTGTCCAGCGACATCATTTGGCATCTCCTTTGGAGATACGATAGATGTTGCAACGCGGGTAGGCACTCAGTATTTTGGACACTAATGTCAAGAGGTAAAAGATGATATGTATGATTACATACAATGCATGCATTTTTTGTGCCAAAGTTAGGCCCGATAAGTGATCATCACTTTCACTTCATTTTATAACCGTCGAGAGTTGAAAAGGAAAACAACAGTGGCGACGTGTCGGAAGCTGCATGGCACATCATGGCTCACATGGGTGTACCCATGACCACCCATGACCCATGCTACAAGATCGATACGGAGGGACACACGTCTGGTGTTGCTTGGCTGGGCGCTCCTATAAATCTCCTACAAACTCCCATGTCATTTGCACAGCACAAACAGACCTCACGTAGAGTGACCCAACAAGTGATACATAGACTGAGCACCAAGAAGACCTCGCAACGATGAGGTCTCTCGGCCGCACTTCGTTGTGCTTTCACCTGGCCCTGCTTCTCCTCCTTGCCGTGGTCAGGGCAGATGATCCTAGCCTCGCCGATGGAGGGAGGCTCATCGACCCCAAGCCTTCCCCAAAACCCATTCCAAAACTGATGCCTCAACCCAACCCTAAAATGCCGCACCCGAACCCAAACCCAAACCCAAACCCAAAGCCCACGACTCCTGCAATGCCGGAACCCAACCCAATACCGGACCCAGATGCCAAGCCACAACCAAAACCAATGCCTCAGCCTGACCCGAAGCCAACTCCTGAAAAGCCAAAGCCTGAACCTCAGCCAGGCTCATTGCCGGTGTATTCACTAGACGACATTGGTTCCGACAGGACGAACCCAAAGCCTGACCCACACCCTAACCCTAAGG